ATCCAATGCTTGGACTCAGGCTGAAATGAGGCTCAGTTGTCAGAGGCTGGAGAAGCCAGAAGAGGTAGAGTTTCAGCTGAATCTTGAAGGATGGAAAAGACTTTAATGACAATAAAATGACATTCTCTTTTTTCCAAATGACAGGATTCTCAGTGGACATCATTGTGTCAAGTGTGTCATATATGCAGATAGGTGCACAGGAAGGATGCATGTGTGAAAATGAGAGTGAAATTAACAGGAATGCACTGATGAGAGGCTGAATATAATATTTTCATGTGTATATATGCAGGTACAGACATGAGTGTGCATCCAAGTATGAGAACATGTGTGTGCAAAGACAAGTATGAGTGGGTGTGAACAAGAGGAAGCTGAAGGAGGCCATCCTTGCTCCAGAATCCCCAATTCTCCTGCTTCCATTTTATCATTTTCTTTCCGTTAAGTTTCCAGGGAAGGAGAGTCACTCTTTGTCTGGTCGTTGAGTCTCTGAATTCAGGGACGTAAGCCTCCTGATCTTTTCCCTCAGCTCCTTTGAGGCTTTCCTTTCAGACCAAATCACGAGATGTTCTAGGCATCATTATAAAAGGGCTGTTGGCTTTTTCCATCCCTCATTCCTTCTACATAGGGGACCCACTTTTCCAAAGTTCACCCATAGGTCATACTTCCTGCTGACAGGCCACCTGTCTGCCTGGATGGGTCTGTTGGTTCAGGTAGAAGAAGATCCAAGACTAAGAGAGGTCAGGCCTGGGCTATACCTGGAATGGGCTTCCATAACATAGCTGTGCATTGTTGGCCAGGATTTCCTCATAGTTGAGAGAACACTGGGGAAGGGGAGAGACCCTGGCTTTGGTGAGACGAAGGCTTTCGATTCAGGCATGTGCAGCATTTCTGAGTCTGACTGTCTATTGCTTCCCTGCCAGAGTCTGAACCTGCCACCATGGATAGATACCTTAGATTTTGTGATATGTTTATGAATGATTCTAGTGGTAGTGGATGCTAGGGGAGCACTGGACATCCAGTCTGAGGTTTTAGAAGTGTTACTCTTCTCTGTGGTACTCAGTTTTACCTTCTGCAGGGTGGGTACAACTAGCTTGATTGCTAATAACCAGGGTGTTTTTAATATTCACAAGTTGTGGGTCCTCCCTGCTCATGCAAGGGGTTAAAGTGCAGCACTATGAAGCAATATACATCCACTGCAGCCAAAATTTCATCCCCAGCAGAGAAGTGACCCACATAACATGGTAGACCTTTTATGTCTCACCTGCTGCTCCCCTCAGCAGTGCATTTCAGTAGATCCTCCTGTTCTGCTCACCATTGTCTCTGATGAATCCTCTCACCCCTGTACCCATACCCCAGTTCTTGTATGCATAAATAAATAAACCTTAAAAAAAATACTTACAAGTTGTGCTACTTCCCCAATGCAGGAAATACTTCAGAAAGTCCAGCATCGGTAGAATAGCTCCCCTTGAAACCTCCAAGCAACCTTCTTCTGTCTTCTCTCTAGGGTAAGATACCTGGGTCACATCTGCTATAAAAGGCTATCTCCCCAGTATGATGCGCAGATGCCAGAAGGGCTTCTCCACCTTGCTATATTCCACTCTTGGGACTAAAATCCCAAGAGGTCAGACTCTGGAACTGCACAGACCTTTCTGACACCTTTGAGTCCTGCCCCCCATTAGCTGTGTAATCTTGGGCAGGTACTTCTCTATGACAAGTATCACCACCTGTACAATACAGACAAAAGCTATCACTTTAGTGCTGATGTGAGGGTTAAATGAAATAGCACATGGAAAGCATTAAGTGATATACGATGAATTTTTTTGGGGTCTCCATTAATAATCTTTTCGACACCAAGGAGGCCCTAGTGAAAATGCCACAGGGACATTAAAGAATCACCTGGAGAGGCTTCTGATCACTAAGATTAGGTGTAAAGAAAGGAGAGCCAGGGAGCGGAAGATGAGATTGCCAACTTCCCCTGGCGGGACCAGCAGTTATGTGGCTGGCAGGCTCGCCGGTAGCTGTCCGTGGTGCTGAAAAAAATTACTTTTTTTTTTTTTTTCCTCCTTTTTCTTTTTTAACACTCGCCAGGCCCTGCTTTCAGAAATCTGTGCAGCCATCTGGCAAAGAGGAAGAAGAGGTAGTCTGAAAGGCTTTGATCTCCCAATGCCAGTTCTTCTCACCTGTACCAAGAACATGTTCTGTCTGGCTTCACCCTGTTAGGTCACCAGCAGCCCAATTACTCAGGCTGCTGCTTGGGACACTTTCTTACATCACTGCCCAACTTGTCTTCTGTCTAAGCCTTATCCTTTTACTGGGACGTGAGCTCCCTCATGGCAGGGCATCTGTCTGTTAAGGTAAACAGGTTCTGTTGTTTGATTAGTCCTGGAATATTAGAGCCCTTAACTTCCACCACTGGCTCTCATCCTTGGAAGATTTAATTTCCTCCCTTACCTCTTTACTGTGAATTGTTGACTTTAATTAATTAATTCATTTAATAATTAACTAGGCACGGGTCAGAGCATTTACAAATAATTAATTCTTATAGCAATTCTTCTAGTTGGGTCCTGTTTTTATCCTTGTTGAGCAGACGAGAAACGGTCATGGAGAGATTAAGTGACTTGCTAGAAAATGATGGAATCAGAAATTGAACCCAGCTTGTCTGACTATAAGCACCTATGCTTCTTCCTACATTTGAGCAGCTTTGTGAGGGCTGGGATAGTGGTTTATGGGAGACTTGCTCCAGTATTCCGACCCCCACCCAGATCAGGCACCAGAAATATCTCTTAGCATCTGGAAACTGATGATGGAGACAATTAGTCAAAATGCAAGGAAATGGGTGTTTTGGCTTCATGTAATTTGGTTTTATGAAGACCACTAAATGCAAACATTCTCCTGTTAATTACTGTCTCAAATTTGGTGTGTAATTGAGGGAAGTAGAAGTGGGGAGAGTGTGGGAACCCGTTGGAGTGGCAGGCCTGCCCAAGTCAGCATTCCCAGCAGCCTTGTTCCTGCTCTGTTAATTTTAGAAACTCCTCCAGCCTGAGTATATTATTAGCTTTATGTACATAGGGCCACAGGGCTCCCAGTGGCCTCTCTATGCCACATTTTTTTTTTTTTTTGCTTTGTTTTGTTTTCCTCAAGAGATGAAATGAATAGGGATGATGGCTGTGTGTATACAGGGGTGTTTGCATGCTGTGTGTGTGAATGGGGATACCTGTGTGTGGTATTTAATGAGTGTCCACAGCTGCCTTTGAATGATGTGCGTGCAACTGGGTAGGGAGTATACACAGCTCAAAAGCACCCCATAGAAACGGAAACCTTCCAGTCATTAGCAGGGTGTGCTGTTTTCTGTGTAGTGTAGTGTGAAGGCTGGAGTGACTCTCAAATCATAGGTTAGACTCTCCCAGATGCCTAGGTGGACTGGGATTAGTTAGAGAAGGAGTGGTGAGCTGGGAGTAGCTGAAGTTGGCTTCTTTGCATCCGTCATGGAATGAGAAGCCTTAGCCTTGAGGTCCTATCTTGAGGTCCTGAAGGATGTGGTTTTCATGGGAGATGCCAGAAGCTGCCTCTCCAGATTCCCTCCCTCTTGAGCTGTGTGATATGGGCCAGTCTGTATCCCACCTTCAGTGAATCAGGCCCTATCCTCTCCTGGAAGCTTAGTGCCATTTTGAGTCTGGCAAAGAAAATCTTTTGCCATAATGTGTTTGCAAACGTGGAACACTTCAGGAAAGGGCACTTTGGTTCTGTGGTGGGATCCTCTGGAGGCTCAAGAAAAGCCTGTCTTCTAGTCTCTTCCTCTGACTTCCCTGCAATAGAGAAATAGAGATGGCTAAAAGGTTATTTCTCTTGGGAGAAAGTATGCTATTTCTGCCTGACTCATACCTTTATCTATCATATAATTGTCTGCTTTAATAGAAGAGGGAAACAGCAAGATTTTGACCTGGAGGTCAGCCCTGGGGTGACTGGTGCTTAGGAGTGTTCCCTGGGAATGACTGACCATACTTCCTAGACTGGGGTCTGTATTATCCTTTGCTGTCATACTCCCAAAGAGGCCCCTCGGCTTTTACTGCCTCACCTTGCTTAACCTCTCAGAGCCTTTTCCCTGAGTATTGCTCTCCACATCCCTCAGAAAACACTTGCAGTTGCTTTGAGACTTTAGGAGAAATGATTCTCGAAGCCCTATCCAGTCTCACTCTACTGCATTGAGTGACACCTTACCGGTGCCTGGAGTCCCAGTGGGGCCTAAAATCCCTTCCCCCTTGAAGGATATCACTGTCCTTCCTCAACCCTGTATAGAATGCAAACCTCTTGGGGTGGAGAGAGCTTGCCAGACATTTTCTTATTATTGTGGATAGACTAAAGAGAGAAATCCCCATGCAAGAGGCATTGTGGGAGAGGGCCAGATCATACAGACTCCATCTCTCACTGCATAATTATACAGACTCCACCTCTCACTGTATAAAGGAAAACTGAGGGCCAGGATTGGGAGAGCACCTGCCTGATGTCACAACACTTTGGTGATGGAGCTGGGCTAAAACTGAGCTCCTCACCTGCTGTTTCTCTGGAACTCTCTGCTCACAGCCTGTGACATGTCAACCTGCCAACCTGTCTCAGGTCACATCTGACCATCAGGGAGGTTAGATCAGGCTGGGGTGGGACAGAAGAAACTTCTTCCACTAACACAGCCTCCCACTTCTCTGTATGCCATCATCTAGTTTTCTTTTAAGCCCTTTTTGTGGGGCATGGAGGTGTGAGTAGGAGACTTGTGATTAGGGAGGTCATGGAGGGCAGGGAGAAGGTATTTCCTTTGTGAAGGAAAAGCCTCTTTCAGTGTGTGTCCTCTCACATCTGCCAGTCTCTACATCTGCCCTGGTACCTGTGTGCCTGTTTACTGCAGTGTCTTAGAACTCTCCAGACTGCTCTCCTCACACTGCCTTTTCTCCCAGGATTCATTTTTTGGCCTGTAATTAATTTTGTTCTCTGACCCCTGTGTCTCTGGGCAGATTTTACTGGGACCTGACCATGCTGCTGCTGATGGTGGGAAACCTGATCATCATCCCGGTGGGCATCACCTTCTTCAAGGATGAGAACACCACTCCCTGGATCGTTTTCAATGTAGTGTCGGACACATTCTTCCTCATCGACCTGGTCCTCAACTTCCGCACAGGGATCGTGGTGGAAGACAATACAGAGATCATCCTGGACCCACAGCGGATTAAGATGAAGTACCTCAAAAGCTGGTTTGTGGTGGATTTCATCTCCTCCATCCCCGTGGACTACATCTTCCTCATTGTGGAGACACGCATCGACTCGGAGGTTTACAAGACAGCCCGGGCCTTGCGCATCGTTCGCTTCACCAAAATCCTCAGCCTCTTGCGCCTCTTGCGTCTTTCCCGCCTCATTCGATATATTCACCAGTGGGAAGAGGTGAGTGGTCAGCCCAAGCCTCTTGGGGGAACAGTTGTCTGCCTCTCAGGGTGAGTAAGAGTGATCTCAGAAACTGGGATAAGGATGTTAGGATTATAGCAGACACCTGCTCAGAAAGGACAGCTAGTAGTAATTTCTTGATCATGATCGTGGTGTAGATACTGCACAAAGCACGTCACATGCATGCAGCTCATTCATGTCGATGACAATCTCTGAGGAGATCGCATAAGTACATGCACGTGGAATTCACAAGGGGATATCAGAGAAAGATTATGTGATTTACACAAGGGAACACAGTAGTAGTAGGTGAACCTGGAATTAGCCAATGACTCCAGAGCCTGCAGTTAAATTGTAGGGATTGTGAATTCAAAATTCTGTAGGGGCAGGCAGGAATATGCATGGATGAAAAGAGCAGTGTGGTAGAGCGGGAAAAACATATCTCCCATCTGTATCGGGAAGCTTCTACTCAGCTCTAGCCTGGGAATGGGCCCAGGGTTGTGAAATATACAGCTTTATCATAAAAAGTAGAAATTTGGATTTTTGTGCAAATTTTGTTGGCAAACATGTTAGATTGGGTTGTTTTGGAAAAGATCCTTAGATGAGGATTTGCATAAAAGTAACAAGGTTGGGGGTTTGGGGTGGGGAGTATTTCCAGGAAAATCTGGTATGAGGTTGGGGAAGAGATAGGAAAAGGAAGCAAGTGTGAGACTCCAGACAAAGTCCCATGGAGAGTGACTTTGAGGACAGTGTATCCCATACTTTAGAGTTGTCTCAAGAGGGCAAAGGAGTTGGAATTTTATATCCCCTTAACTGTCAGTCACTGACTCAGGGCACTTCAAGCTCAGGTGCTAGCAGGCAGAGGGTTTCCAGAGGGCAACCTGGGGCCTCCTCTGACAAAGATCAGCAGGTGGCAGGCCCCAGCCGCAGGGAGTGCAAGTACCAGAGAGGCTGGAGTTGGGTGTGCAGAAATTGTAGAAGGACCTTCGGGCTCTGGGGAGAGCACTTGCTACGGAAACGACAGACAATTGCAAAAGAACTGGGCACGCCAACACCATTCTGAACAAAGTGAACTCATCCCTGGGCTTCATGCCGCCTCTGAAGGAGGAGGAGAGGACGGCATGGGCTGGGGTTTGAAACAAGCCGGGGACCTTGCCAGGCATGCAGTCAGTCCACGTCGCCGCCACCCAGCTACACCTTTTGGCCACCGTGGCAGGCATGCCAGCTTGCAGGTACACTGGGAAGGGAGAATACATGCTCTGCCAGAGCAGGCTGTGGCCTGGGCGCCCTCTACCCCAGTGCCCCCCAACTGGGACTCATTGCTGCGCTGCTGGTCTCCTGGTCTGGCCAGACCTCTGTGTGACAAATCCCCATGCTCAGGATTTGAAACTCCTCTACCCTGGACGCCTGCCAGCAGCAGCAGCAACCTGGATGATAGCCTGCGGCACCCATGGCTGATGGTTGGAGCACTGGCAGATTGAGGTCAGAGGTGTCTTGCGCGCCTGTGCCACAGAAGCGCCTACACCAGCCTGGCAGAATCACTCCATGGCAGAAATTTTTCCTTGGCTTGGAAAATGTGCATTATTCCTGCTGACGGGGAAGGAGCAATGACTTGCCCAAGGTCACACAGTAGCCGGACTGCTGGCCGTGCCAGAGCACAACCCAGTTAGTGCTCTTGGCTCCCAGCAATGTGGCAGCCCTGCGTAGCGTAGTGGAGCGCTGTGGCTTTCGGAGTGAGAATGACACATGTAAGCTCAGTTAAAGTCCTAGCCCCCTCGGCATGGTGCTGGGTGCTGCCTTACCCCTCTGAACAACCTCAGTCCCTTAATCTGCAAAATGGGTACAGGTGATACTTCCCTCACTGGGTCATTGTGAGGATGAAATGAGGTGGTGCTTGCAAATCCTTTAGGTGAAGCCTGGTGCAGAGAATCTTTTAATAAGTGTCCTTACCCCAGCCCAATTGTTTGTTTTTTTTTTTAAAGATTTATTTATTTGTGCATACAGAACTGGGGTACAGGCCAGAGGCTCAGGGGTGGCGAGAGGCTTCACCAGAGACAGAGTGGGGAGCAGAACAGGCAGATCTATGAAGTACACTGCTGAGGGGAGCAGCGGGCGGGTCAGGAGGGGTCTGCCACGCCATGTGGTCACCTCCAGGGCAGGCGGGAATCGAACTCATGCAAAAGTGGCTTTAGCTTCTCAGTGCTGTGCTTTAACCTGCTGCGCCACCAGGGAGGGCCCCAATTGTCTTCATAACCCTCATACTTCTACAGCATGTCTCCTGTTCTCAAATACCTTTACCCATTCTCTCATTGGTTGCCTGTACGCAGATGGCAAAGTAAATAGGGTAGGATTTATTATCCCCATTTGTCAGGGGAGGAAACCGAGGCTCTGAAGGGTTGCCAGCCCTAGTGGTCAGCTTTTGTCCTTGGCCTCCTGACCACTGGTTCCAGGCACTCAAGCTGTCTCATGTAGCCTAAGGAAGGACTTTCCACTATTCCACTATAACCCCTGTGTGAGGGCTGAGTCCAGATGAAATTGGAAAAGCAAGCAAGGAGCTTCTGGTGGGCTTGGGTGAGCAGTTCTGTGCCACAGGCTGTCCTTGAGGCACCTGTGGGACATCTGGATGCAGAGAGCTGTTGGCATGTGGGTCTGAGCTCAGGGCTGAGCAGGGAAGGTGCCTACGGGGGCAGGTTGATGGTTGGGGCCTCTCTGAAGAGGAAGGATAGAGGCAATATTTCCCAAAAGGAGCATTTTCAGCTCCTCAATCCCCAGGAAACCCCCAACTTCTGTTTGTCTTGGACCCATGCCCCATGTCATTTAAAGCAGAGAATGGGGTGCTTATCCGACTCTGGTATGGTTTGTATCTCCAGCCCCGGCTCACTGGGGGCCAGTTCTACCTCCCCTCCACCTTAGACCTGGGCCCTGAGAACCAGAGTTTGGTGGGACTTGGCAGTGTGGCCAGTGCTGGGCAGGGTGGCCCTGGAACAGAGCTAAGAGCTTCTCTTACTGTCCTCACACCATACATCTGGGAAGGGGGTCCTATCCCCACCAGCCCTCTGGCGTGACTGCCCTCAGGGCTGAAAAGCAAGCTTCTGGGGGCAGACAGAGGCCCCAGGAGGCTTCAGATCAGAGATCTGAACTGAATGTTGCCACCCAATCTCGAGGCCAGGAGGGAGATCCCAGGAGGCCAGATTGCTGCCCCTCCTCCCTTCCCTTATCTCATCTAGCAGCTGGAGAGGAAATTGTTCTGAGCTGGTTTCTGCTGGGCACTCCGCCCAGTCAGACTCCACTGGACCCCTGGGATTGGATTTCGGGTGTCCAGCTGGCCCCAGGAGTTCTGTCTCCATATACTTAATGAACTGTCCCCACCCTGGGGCTTTTCCTAACCTCAGCTCAGGCTCGAGCAGCAGTAGGGAGGCCACTGTGAGGCCCAGATTCAAGGAGAGCTAAGGTGGGAGGTATTTAATAGAGAAAACTTGCCCATCTCCAGCTTCCTGCATGAGTCTTTCTCGGGCCTCAGTTTCCCCCACTGCGGGCTGTTCCCTGGGCTTCTGTCCCAGCTCCAGCCTGCCACAGGAGGGCATTGTTATGGCCCTGGTTGGGGGCTGCAGTGTCGATCGACCTTACATGGAGAGGAAATGCTTGTCCAAAGCCCCCTGATGAACTGTGGGCATGCTAAGCTCCTACTCCCAGCCCCACCCAGTCTTTCCAGTTCCTAAGCCTTAGCTCAGGGGCCTCAGGGGTCAGGGTCATGGAGGGTCTCTGCAGGTGTAGACCATCATCTACAGGACACCAGCCTCTGCCTTCATCCTGGGCGATCTAGGTCAGCATCCTCCCTCCCAAGCCTCTCCCAGCCAAGCCTCTTTCCTCCCTCTGAGGTGCGAGCTTGTTATAGGCACGGAGGCTATTGTTAGAAACCTTGGTTGCCCCCCTTTGGATGTTCCCCTGCAGGGCCCAGCACCCCAGCAACCCATCCCACAAGCCTCTTTTTTTCCCTCAGCAGCCAGCCGGAGGAGCAGCAGGAGGAAGCCTAGAGATGGCTACCAGGGCCTGTGGCCTGTGGCCCTAATGGATTGCCTTCCCCTGTGGGCCTTGGTTTTTCCGCTCCTCTCAAAACCAGGACTTGGCATCTGTGGGAAGTGAGGACAATGCAGTAGTGATCCTGTGGGGCAGAGGTTGGCCCTCTTGCCAGGCCCTGGGAAGGAAGCAGCACAACCTTCAGCCCAGCCCCCTCCAGACTGTGTGCAGGGTCTGCATACACACCCCACTCTCTCAGCCTTTGTTTGGCTTGTCCTCAATGTCCACTCATTTCTGAGACCCAGGTAGAAGTTTATTTTTCCTGGAGGAGAAAACAAGTCTCCAGAAGGCCCTTCACCCGGGTCCCAATTCCAGCTTCTGATCTTTCCCTCAGACTGAGAAATCAGCTCTTTGTTTTGGGGCTGAGAAAGAGAGGGCAGGACAGGAACCAACAAGCACTGAATACCCAAGACAGCCTGGGAGCTGGCAGTTATTAAGCAATATACAGATGGGCAAACCAAGGCTCAGAGGAAGAAGGCCCCTAGGCTAGAAGGCCTGCCACTTTGCAGTTGAGAAATTTCACAAGGGGTGAGAAGGCAGCTTGCCCCTATACCTCGCATGGGGCACCAGGCGGCCCTGCTAGCAAGGCATGGGGCTGGGGAGGGGTGGGTCTGGAAATGAAGGTACTCGATTCCCCACAGGCAGAACCTCATCATGAAAAGGGGGTTTGATGAGGTATAAAGAGGCAGACAAATATTTGCACAGCACAGCTGACTTGCAGTGGCTGGTGGCCCCAGCCCACAGCAGGGAATGATGTGCAGCAGCCTCTCCCAGCAACCTCCAGGCTCACTCTCAGCAACCACCGGTGCCAGAGAGCATTGGAGGAAGGGAAGTGCCCTCACCAGCTGGGTGCCTTCCTAGTTTGAAGGGATGTGCCCCCAGGCACCTTTTCTTGGGGAAGCCCACATTTTGAATGGTTGGTGCCTTGGGCTTGGAGGTGCCTGAGCACCACCCACAGCACGCCACCCCAGGGTGACATGATGTGACTTTCCTGTTTAAGGGATATGTGCATGTACTTATGTACAAATGGATTGGGGGGGTAGGCAGGGACCCTCCCTGCCCCACCCAACCTGCTCCCTGCTCCTGGTACCTGCATCTTTCTTCAGCTCGGTGCCAGCTACACCAGCACCATGCTCTCTGAGAATATCTGAGTCTCCTGGGTCCCCCCTGCAGCAAAGGCACTTTGTCCCCACAAAGAGCAAGACAGGTTCTTGGTGGGCCTCACCTGTCCAGAGTGAGGCCTTTTACAAATGCCACTATCCACACGTGGCGTCCCCACCATCCCCACTCCTGTCACTGTCACCTTCACCTTCGTCGCTAAGAGCTTCTCAGTTCCGGAGACCCTGAACATGCTCTTCCATATTCATTGCTGAGGTCACTCTAAAGGCAAAATTAGGTAAGGAGTAGCTCTTAGAAGAAAATTAGTTATGAAGAAAAGAAAAACTCGAGTAAGACCAAATGAAAAGACATTGTATAAAAAGGTGCCAAGTTTCACAGTCTGCCTGTTAAGACCCGGAGTGATATGTAGCCAGGAGCAGTCACTGTTGAACACAAAAGTCTGGGGCACTTTTCTAGAAGTGGCCTGAGTCTTCCTTTAGCTTTACATCCCCTCATTCATTCAGGCACACGCGCACTATTCAAGCAATCAACAAGTGTGTCGAATGTCTGTGTGTGCTAAGCACTGAGTAATACAGAGTGAAATAGAGATCCCTACTTCATGAAGCAGTAGGAAAGTAAATAAGTGACATTTTAGATAGTGCTGAATCCATGAAGGAAGGAAGTGGGAGTCTTGGTGGTGGAGGGGAGCACCACTAGCTGCTTCTCATGGAGGGGTCCAGAGTCTCTCCATGAGACAGGATGAGCCATTGGCATGGGAAGGGCGAAGGCAGCTGAACAGCAAGCCCAATACCAAGGCGCCCTGGTAAGCATCCAGGTCTTCAAGAAGGCTGGGGGCATTCCAGGTCTTCAAGAAGGCCAGTGTGGCAGGTGGTGATGGCTGGGGGCGAGTGGAGGAAAGGGGTGGGCAGAGCCCTGAGGGCCTCAGTCAGTGGGTTGTGCTATGGGGTAATGACAAGTCAAGTCACGGCGGGTTTGATGTGAGGGGTGACATGATCTGACTTTCCTCAGGGATATGTGCATGTACTTATGTGCAATTGGATGGGGGGGGGGCAGGGACCGCTGCCAGATAGGGACATTATGAGGATTCTGTCAAGGTAAGAAGTGAGATAATACTGTATTTAACAATTTGTCCCCTTTGATTACAACCCTAAGTATCCACACTTGTAGCACTCTATTTGTCCTCCTGTCCAGCCTGCCTCCCTTCATCCCCAACTAAGTAAAGGGGCTTTACTACTAATACATTAACTAATCATAGAGGTTACATATTAATAACAACATGTGAAAATTAATAATGGTTCTCAACAAGGACAATTCCCAACTACACCTAGTACTAAACATTTAAGATGCATAGCTTCACCTTGTTGACAAACCACTCAGGCCAAGAATTTTTGTCATCATTTTCCAAATGGGGAAATCCAATTAGAGAAGTTCACAGACTTTCTACAGGTCACACAGCTAGAAACTATTTAGGAGCTGGGTCTGGAAGTGTGGTCTTTGTGTGTTGTGCCAGGTTTAGAGTTTCCCAAAGACCACCAAGGAGCTGATTCCTATGCAAAGCACACGAGGGTCTTTATTGCAAGCTGGAGCCTGGGCTCCCAACATGCAGGACGCAACAGCCGAAGTTGAGGCCCTGAGCTCAGGGAAGGCAGGGTTTTTATTACAGAAGAGGGGAGTTTCAGCCCAGCAGAGGGGAGTTTTAGCCAGTAGAGGGGAGTTTCAGCAGTACATAGATTGGTGGACATTGAACAGAGTTATCTTGTCTTAACCCGGTTGATCTATGCATGTAAGATGTGACCTTCACTACTCGGCCCACATACCTTAGGACACCTGGCGTTTTTCTGATAGGTACTGGTTACTTGCCTACTTGCTAATTGGCTGTTGCTATGGGATGAGCAAGATTAGGACATTTACAGTTAAACTCGGCCTTGCGCCTTGTTGATAACCAGAATGGTTCCGAAGCATTCTGAAGCCTGTCATAGCGTCAGTTTGGTCTTTCACTCCGAACCTGTGGCTCTAGGCTGCTCCCAGGCCATTCTGTGGCTGCTTTAGGCAGAGTTCCCTGTGTAGGTGCTAAGGGTCTAGACAGATTCAGAGAAAAGCGTGCTCTGGCACTACAGACCCTGCCTGCACCCCGCGCCCCAGCCTCAGGCTGGCTGACTCCCCACCCTGTTGCCCTCACAACCTGGCCAGCTGACAAAGCGGTTTCTCTGCCCACTTTGGGACTGCACAGAATCCAGACGCCCTTCATCCTGGAAGGCTGGACTTTTCATGGGAGGCCCCCACACCCGCACGGATCCCAGCAGGCATCCCTCTGGGGCCCTACAATCTGCGGTCAGCTGCTCCTAGGGCTTGGCCTGACGCCTTCCCACCCGAGCCACAGCCTGGCCCTGCACCGAGCTGGGCGCTCTGCCCAAGCCTGGGCAGGCGCTGGCTGGGAGGGGCGCCCAGCTCTCTGGCCAACCTCTTCGCCTCTGCTGCAGATCTTCCACATGACCTACGACCTGGCCAGTGCTGTGGTCCGCATCGTGAATCTCATCGGCATGATGCTGCTGCTGTGCCATTGGGACGGCTGCCTGCAGTTCCTGGTGCCCATGCTGCAGGACTTCCCGGACGACTGCTGGGTGTCCATCAACGACATGGTGGTGAGTGCCTGCCTGATGGCCGGGCTCGCACAGGGCGGGGCTCTTCAGGCACAGCCAGACGGGACAAGTAAGACAGCTTGAAACACCCCAGTCCCAGCAAGTGGGACCCTGAGAAGCCGCCCGGGGCTCAGGGTTCCTGCTCTGTCCTGTGCAGGTCTGTCCCAGACAGAGGACGCGCTGCTGCCTCCTCCTTCTTACGCCCTGTGTGCCACCGGACGGCTCCCAGCATGGGCTTAGTTTCACCCAGGGGACTCCTCAGATTAGAGCAGGGATGGCATTGGGCTAATGGTTCCTGCCCTCCTGCCTCTCTCCCCCAAGGCTGACCAACCCTCATGGGGGCTGTAAATGCCATAGGCACTGTGCACAGCACAGGTCACCTCCCAGGTCACACTCGACTGCTTGGGTTACTTTCTGTTCCAGGTAGAGCCCAGTTGGTCCCCTATCTCCCATCTCTTCCCCACACCACTGGCATATCCTGGTCCCCAGGAAGCAGGGATGGCAGGAGTGGCAGGCAAGATGGAGCCTGAGCACCCTCCCGATCACTCCAACCCTGCAGGTGCAGAGAGAATTTGGAATCGCAGCCACAGGGCTGAGTTCCCCAGCTGCATTATGGAAAGCTGGGCTCCAGGCCTGCCTGAGAACTTGGATCTGGGAGCCTTGTCCTGGGTCCAGGAACACAGCTCCACCTAGTTTTACCTAGTTGTTCCTCCTAGTCAATTTGGTTCAGGCTGAAGGCTAAATCCCAGGACCCCAGGGAGGAAAGAAGGCTTTGAAAGAGGTGAAAGAGACCCTGAGGCATCTTTCAGCATCAAACAGGCCTTTACAAAACAACCTTTTGATGAGCTAAGTGTAAATGAATCGGCCATCTGGGTTGAATTTCTGGGTCCCCAGAGGCTCAGCAGAGAGGCTAGCAACCCTGACTTGAGGCAGCTGAGACTCCCCAGGCCCCCCAGGTGGGGAGCCCTCCCCTGGAGATCATTCCCTCGAACCTCCTGTCCTGTTCCTGACTAAGCCACAGGACTAGCTCTGTCTGTGGCTACAGGACACAGGATACCCTATCTGTCCAGGATGGACTGAGTGACCTTTGGACATGGCCTTCCTCCAGGTGCTAAGAACAGCCTGGTGACCCAGGAAGTGCTTGGCACCCATGTGGGTCAGCATGGGGTGGGTTTCCACATTACTAATGCATTCCCCATATGAGCAAAGAAGTATTGGAGATGGCCAGGCCAAATGAGTAGCTCCCTCATTTGAGATGGGTGTGTGAGGATGATGGTGGCTGGCCGAGAGGTACACTGAATTCTAGAGCTGGCCCTTCTGAGCCCGAGCCTTTCTTGAGACACCTAGTGGCTTTGGAGACAAAAATAGCCAGAAGCCTGTCCCCCTTTCTCTCTCTCCTCCCACCCCCAAGCTTTGTGTGTCCCAGACATTCCACTTTTGGGGGAGGATAACTAGAGACCTCAGCCCTGGACAAATACAGACAGAGATAATGAGGTGAGTTGGCTCCAATGCCTTAACTTTTGCTCACCCAGAATGAGGACAGTGTGTTGGCTTGTCTACCAGAGCCTGTCCCCCCAGAGGGAAACATATCTAGTTTTAATTGAGGTCAGTGGGGAAATGCGCTTCACTTGGCAGTAGCTTGGGGGAGGAGAGAGGAAGTGCTTGTCCAGAAAGCACAGGACAGCAGGGTGGCCTCAGCCTGAGATCTTGCCCCCCGGGGGAGGCTCCCAGGCTCTCCCCTGGGGACCGAGAGGTCAGATGAGGGCTAGGGTGCCTCCCATCCAATTGCTGAAGCTTCCTCTCTTGACTCCTGTGCCCCATTGCAAGAGAAAGTCCCCAATGGGGGATTTAACTCTGTCACCACTGGTGGCCGGTTGACCCAACGTTTTCAGTCAACAACAAAGTTGGGAGCCCTGGATTCAACCACTGAGAAGGTGTTAGTTTGAGGGGCGGGAAGTGGCAGGTGCCAAGGGCTTCTCTGGGTGTTAGTGAAAAGAGCCTGCCCTCTCACTGTCCTGAGCCCTCGCATTGACACACACGTCTGGGCTCTGACTGTCAACTGTGCTCTGCCCACAGAACAATTCCTGGGGAAAGCAGTATTCCTATGCCCTCTTCAAGGCCATGAGCCACATGCTGTGCATCGGGTATGGGCGGCAGGCGCCCGTGGGCATGTCAGACGTCTGGCTCACCATGCTCAGCATGATCGTGGGCGCCACTTGCTACGCCATGTTCATCGGCCACGCCACGGCCCTCATCCAGTCTCTGGACTCCTCCCGGCGCCAGTACCAGGAAAAGGTAGGGTGGGCAGCTGTGCTGCACAGGGCTGTCTCTCTCTGGAGAAGCTGCCCCTGGGAACACAGCCTGTGGGTCCCCACCTGTCCAGCCCATGACTGAGATTCCCCTGGGGGAGACAAAAGGAGGGGAGAAGGGCCCCTCCAAGACATGAACTACCTCAGCTCCCTGGCCCTCAACCTACAAATGTCTTTTCATCAGGACCCCCCTTTGGCCCTGCTGGTGTAACTGTCCCTCTGGACAGAGGACTCCTCTTCCCTGTGCCACTGTCCTTTCCACCTCTGCCTCCCTTCTCCAAGCCACCCCCCCACACCACCCCCCTGCCCCAGGCCTTCCTGTCCGCACTGAAACTTAATCAGTCTCGTGTTTTCTTAAGAACTTCAAGTCCCCTCATCATTTGGCTTTAGCTGTTCTTTTTGTTGTTGTTGTATGTCTTCTTTTCATGAACAATTTCCTAAAACAAACAAGCAAAACAAAGCCCCAGGCCGCAGCCCTCTGCCTGCCTGTGTCCATCATGTAGGCCTCTCTCTTAGCAAACCTGTCCCTTTCTTGGGCGACTCTCTGCCCACTTGTGTCTATGCAAGTGTCCTTTAGTCTTCTCCCCGTTTTATGATAAACCTGCCCTAAAAGAAGAAAAAAAAAAAGCCCTACGTTATTTCTAATCACTACATCCATTTCCTTATCTCAGCTCACTAAGTTCAAGTTCACCAAGGTCCTCTATAAGGCCAAGGCCTCTGGGGCCCAGTCTCCTTCACCTCTTAGCATCCATGATATCACCACCCTCTGGGCTGTGCCTTGGTTTCCACTACTGCATGCTTGCTTGTCCTCCTCCTTCTCAGGCCAGCCCTCGCTGCTCTCCCTGGCTGGCTTCTCTTCTCAGATTTCACGGCTGCGTCCCCAGGGGCTTAGACCCAGCTCTGTTTCTGTGCTCCTCTGTTTAACTGGTTGTTACTGTTCTCGCCCAGCCCCGCTCTCTTCCCATCTCTGGGCGGTGAGGCCCAAATGACATAATCAGCCCCCACCTTCTTTTCTTGGCTACAGACTAAGTGAAACCTCCCTGAAGACCCCAACCTCATCATGTCCAAAGTGAGAACACTCCCCCAACCTCTGCACTCCTGTCCAGCTTGTTAGTGGACACAGTAACACAGGCACCCAGGCCAGACCCTGGGAGCTATGCCTTGCATCTCTTGGCCATTAATGCCTCCGTCAGAACATCCACTCTTTGCTTTTCATGCAGGCACCTCCGCCTGGGCCTCACAGCACCTCCCTCTGCGATTAGGGCCTGGATCTGGGCTGTCTGGGTCCCAGCCAGCCCCTCCACCCATGGGCTCAGTGAGGGGGCAGGTTGTGTTAAGTCTCTGTGCTCTGCTTGCCCATCTGTATGGTGGAGATGGTGTGGGGCTTATATCATGGGGAGGAGTGAGCCATACATGTCAAACCCTTAGAACTCTGTTGGCACAGAGCAAGATACTCAAGGAGCAGGAGCCATTCTGCCACCCTCTGTTCCACTCTCCGCATTTAGAGTTGGCATTTACAAAATACAAATCTAATCATATCACTCTTCTGCTGGGAGCCTTTGCATTGCTCCTGGGTGTGGCTTAACTCCTAGATGTGCTTTCTCAACCTAATAGTTCGAGGGTGTAATCCAGCCCCTGCTCATGTCATATACGTGGGATGCCTGCCACCTCACTGGCTCTCTTGCTGCCTTGCCAGACTCACCTCTTCCCTCCTGCCGTAGGGCCTTCGCACAGACTCTGGCCTGGAGCACTCTTCTCTTCTTTCCCCGTGGCCACTGCTACACATCTCAACCTAAACTTCTCCTTGGTGAAGCCTTCTGTGATCAGTCAACCTCCCACCCACCATGTGACCCCAGGTCTCCTTCACCACACCTCACATTCTTGTAATTATGGAATTAATCCTCAGGTGCTCTGTGAGGGCAGGATGCTGTCTTGTCCTTCTTTGTTGTATTCCCAGGGTCCAGCACACAGTAAGGCTAAGGCTCAGTATATATTGATTATCTGGCTACCTGTATGCCCCAGGTACTGTCCCCCGGTGGGGTAGCTGATAGATGATGGCCCACATCCCATCACACCAAGAACTAGAGCCAGGGAAGGCTGAGAAAGTCAGGCTGGGAAAGCAGAGGAAAGAACCAGGGGAGAAAATTCTAGTCCAGATTTCATGATGAACATGAGCTAAGCCCTGAGCAGGATCAGGACTCAGTGTGTGAGCAGGGTCAGGGCTTAGTGTGTGAGAAGGATCAGGGATCAGTGTGTGAGCAGGATCGGAGCTCAGTATGTCATCAGGGTCAGG